CTCTGTATATCTGCCTTTCCAATAAAAATAGACAAATCTTTAAAAGTAAATGTGTGTTGAGTGATGACCATGTCTTATACAAGTTTTCTGCTGTAGATGGGAGTGATACGGTAGTGATAAACTACTGCAGTTGTGATAAGTAAATAAAATCACACACACACACCGCCAGAGAATGGGTTGGAGAGAGAGAGAGAGAATGTGTTGACTGCTTATAGGAAGCAATGAAACACCTGGTAAAAGACCAACTGGGACAGAGGAGAGAGTAAGGAGGGACTTTCTGGTGTGAAGAAGGCTGTAAGGCAGGGCTCTTCTGGGGCCCTCCTGATTGCTGCAAGGAGCAATTCCTTTGCTGGTTTGTATTGTGCTAGGGCCACAGAGTGACATGGACAACATTATTACTTTAATTTGTTGGGTTACCTGCAGGGACCAGCGTCTGAACACAGTCACTACAGCAGCAGACACTTTGAATGTTGTTTTTGTACTTAACAATAAACAGCTGATTTTTTTTTCTTGAGCATTTACAATGTGCCTGACTCTGTTCTAAGCACTTTAAATGGATTCTTTAGTCCTCAGAATGACCTTGAAAAATAGGCAGTTTCCTTTGTTTTCCATGAGAGGGAGTTAGGAGATAGGGCAGTCATGCCATTGGTGCCAGGTTCCCTGGCTAGGAAGGGAAACAGGTGGCCCATTGCTCATGCGGGAGGCAGCACCCTGCGTGGATGGAATTTCTGAAATCACAGCAATAAGAAGCCTGCTTGTTTGTTAATGAAGTTTACATTTCTTAGGGAGTGAAGATGTCATCAGACGGTGAAAGAGGTGCTATATGTTGGTTTGCCCGATAGAAAATAGTCGTAGGCATTCTTTCTGAGTTCGATCCACCTTCAGTTGTGACCTTGAAGTTTTCCCTGCAGATGTAAGTGATCCTTCTATGTATCTCCTTTTATTGTGAAATACAGGACACTGATTTAAAATAAACATGATTGTGGGAGGAAGAAAGAGGGGTCAATGAATTGTTGACTGATGAGGCGCAGGCAGAGGTGATGGGTGCTGTCTCCTCTGGAACAACAAGCTTTGCTCCCATTCTTTGGCCAGTTCTAGGCCAGGCGCTGCTCATCTGTCACCTCTTGTTGCATAGCTTCCTAAGCAATGCATGGTTCTGCCCATTTTAGGGAAGACAAAACCTAAGTGAGGGCGGTTAAGTAGCTTGCTATGAGTCCACACAGCCGGTGAGACGCAGAGCAGGAATTTGAAGCTGGCAGAGCCTGTCACTGGTTTTAATGCTGCCCCCCCCCCCCCCTTTTTTTAAGCCAATAGACAACCCTTAGATCCATTTCTCCAAAGTTTTCTTGCTGGGATTCCAGAAAGGAAAGGGTCAGTATAGCAGGAGTTCTCATACAATCTTGGTGGATTTCATCAGATTACTGCTCTCACCCACCACCTCTGGGGGTCTGGGCTTCGCAAGAAAACCCTGGTTCTCTGCAGAGCATTTCTCTATATTCCTCTTTATTCTTTGCAGGATGTCTGTTGCACTTACCCCTTTAAGGATCAATATAAGTTCTGAGTGTTTTTCTTTCACCTCCTCCAGGCAGATTAGAATACAGCTGTGGTATGACACGGCATGGGCTTGAGTCCTCCCATTCTTGCCCATGAGGTTGGGCAAATAACTGCTCCATGACTTGCATTTCTTCACTTTAAAGTGAATTTGAGAGAAAGGGAAAGAAGCAGGGCAAGATGGAGGTAGGGAGAGAGATGTCCACAAAGCCAAGGCCGGGCAAGGCTGCACCCAAGGAACCTAGCCCTTCCTCCAGATCTGCCCTATGGATGGATGGCAGCAGCTCAAGCCCTGGAGGCCTCACCTGCTGTGTTTTGAGAGCACAGCGCACAGGAAGCTGGAATCAGAGCGGAGCTAGGCGCAAGCCTAAGAGATGGAGTGTCCCAAGCGGTGCTTAATCTATCACACCATAATACTTGTCACAATTTCTTATCTTTAAAATGGGCAGAGTTATTATCATGGTTAAATAATCCTAAAAACTTCAAGCTCTTGGCCTTATGCCTTTCAAAAAGTGTGAATGTATCACTGTTGTGAAGAATGCCTGTTCCCTGTTCGGATCTCCATGAGGAGACGTTAATTCTGTCTTCGCTATCTGATTAGAAGATTTGAGAGGTTTAATTCACCCCTTTGCCCTCTTTTTTCTTTGTAAGATTTATGTATTTATTTTGGAAAGTCAGATGAACAGAGTAGAAGAGAGACAGAGAGGAAGATTTCCGTCCGATGATTCACTCCTCAAGTGGCCACAATGGCCATAGCTGAGCCTATCTGAAGCCAGGAGCCAGGAACTTCTTCCCTGTCTCCTATACAGGTTCAGGGTCCCAAGGCTTTGGGCCACAAGCAGGAAGATGGGTGGGAAACGGGGCCACCGGGATAACAACTGGCACGCATATGGGATCCTGGCGTGTTCAAGGCGAGGACTTTAGCCACTAGGATACCGCACCAGACTTCCCTTTGTCTTCTTGAAAAGAAATCTGCCTTGGTACCTTTGGTCTTACCTGAACAGGGTCTGCTTGATTTGAAGGATTGCACGCATTGCTGCTGGTTTCCACTGTAAACTTTGTTCTCCACAGTCACTCATCCAGAGGGTATATGAGTTCTCTGTCCTGTGAGCCTGATTCTCTGAATTCCTTTAGAAGCAAGTGTAGTATGTTTGGTTTCCTTAGAACTCTGTAACTAGTGATTGGTGTCTTTTTCCTTCAGTTGCCATAGGATCCTAGAACTTGATAGTTGGAGTGAGAGTTTGAAAATGACTTGGATTTATCCTATATCTGAGCCTCCCTGCCAAGTGGCCCTTCAGCACACACTGGCATATTTTTGGTAATCAGGCACTGTCCCAGGTCATCCAGGGACACTGGATTGCTGAATTGCTCATTTGGGGTTCGTATCTAGCAGTGCTGGGCTTTCAGGCTGCCTTATCATCGGTGTAAAGCATTCAGATCCACTTTCCTTTGGGAGGAATTACTGAAGCCAACCTCTTTTTTGGTAGTTCTTTTAGAGAATTCGTTGTCCCGTAACTGGTCAGCAACAGCTGAGGGAGGAAACCACCCCTGTGCCTGATATCTCCTTGAGAACTCTCCCACTATCTCACCCCAGTGTGCCTGCTGCATGCACCCTGGCTTAGCATCAAAGATGCAGGATGGGGTACACAGCCACGGTGAGTCTTACAAGGCTGTGGCCTGGAAACTGAGCGTGGTGCATACTCTGGTGGAAGGAAGTAAAACTGCGTGTGAAATTCTGCCTTCAGTATCCTAGATGCTTAGTGACAGGCTGGGATACACCTGCCCGGTGAAGGCAGACTGGTTAGGGATCTGCTCGCGTATGCTGTTTGTTCTCAGATTCAATATAACATCGAAGAGGAAGCAGCAAATGTCAAGACACTGAGCTCTTTAATAACCTTAAGGAAAAAACAAACAAACAAATAAACAAACCAAAAAACCAGCTCTATTGAGATAGAGTTCACCTATCAAAAATATCACCAGTTTAATTTGGTGGGCTTTAGTACAGGGCACTTTAAAAGCTTCATGGAAATTGAATTAAAAGATGACTGAATCTGGGTGCAAAAGAATTTTGAAATCATGTGTTTGAGGGAACTTCAAATAAGTTTGTGGAAAGAACGTGTTTTAAAAATGGTATGTGTGGGGTTCAAAATGTTATACACCAAACTAAAGTTATTTTTGATTATACTTTTTCACAAACTGTTGGAAGTGTACCTTCTTATCTTCATGGATTATGTAACTGTCACTGCAATTAATTGTAGAATATTTCTATCACCACAAATAGAAGCTCTGTCTATTAGCAGTCACTCCCTATTCTTGTCTATCCAGCCCCTGGCAGTCACTAATCTTCTCCATGGAATTGTCTATTCTGGGACTGTCATACAAGTAGACTAATGAAATATGTGGTCTTTGGCTTTTTTCACTTAGTATAGTGTTTTCAAGGTTAATCCATATTGTATCCTATATCAAATGATTCATTCACTCTTTAAAATTATTGTTATTAGTTTATGATACAGTTCCATGAGTTCTGGGATTTCTGTTCTCCCCATCTGTATTCCATCCCCCACCCCCACTGACTTCCCCTCTATTATCACAATGCATAGTCCTTCACAAACATTCATAAGTCCATCATCCTGCCATTTAAGTGTTTCCTGACATTGAAGGTATGAATGCTGGCAGAGTCCAGCATCCCGTTGTCATGATTCGTTTAACAATTTCACTTGGAGTTCATCTTTGATTTGGAAGTGTCCTCATATCTGGATGTGATAGTCTATTATATAGTTACTCTGCATGCATCCCTTTAAATACAGCCATGTTGACAACAGGATGAAGGATAGAAAACTTACAACAGGAAGTTAAATAATATGCTACAGAATGACCTAAGTGTCGCTAGAGAAATGGATTAAAAAAAAAAACTTCTTGAATCACGCTACTGTAGGTGCATTCACCTTTATGAGGTTGTCAGTTGCCTTTGATTGATATGCCACCTTTGGCTTATCCACCCATCGGGCGTTCGAGTTGTGTGCACTTTGTAACTATTTTGAGCAATATTGCTCTGAATATTAGGCTCAAGCTTTTGTGTAGAGACATGTTTTCCTATATAAATGAGTTGGGTATATATGTATATCCAGAGGTATTGCTAGGTCCTACTCCTTTCGTCGCTTTTTATAATTGCTGCTTTTGTTTTCTCTTTCTGGCCCTCACATGCCTGTGCTTTGGATTTATATTCGCTTCCTCTGTGCTGATTGTTGTCTATGACTCTTCGTTGTTACATCTGGAACCCAGCTTAAAATTCTTCATTGAAGTACATCAACAATTAATCAAGTGAGAATAAAATGAATCAGAAGAATGCTCATTAGATGGACTCAATACCAGATGATATTTGCATCTGTCCTTTTCCTTACCAAGGTCTGATTCAAATATTTACAAAGACTTTCTTTTTTCTTTTCCAGAATCGCAATGAAATAAAGAATGGCACGATCCTTCGATTAACCACATCTCCAGTAAGTTGGTTCTAATTTATTGCAGCCCAGTGTCCTTTTTCCTCTAGTTCCACTCCATGTGATTATGATAATTCCCCTGATCCATTTATGGGAAATCGATTTTTGAGGGTGACTTCAGTACAAAGTGGAACAGCCTCCCTCCCATGCAGGTTCTAGATTAGCAGGAAGGGCCCACCTTACAGAGGAGGAAGGCTCTACTCCAGGTGAAAGGCAAGGACACCAGTCAGGAAGCCTTGAAGGGTTTGCATGCTGGAGGTCAGATTAACACGTTGCCTGTTGTGGGAGGAAAAGCTGTGCTGGACTCTCTGGTTTTACCCACTGCCCTGGCGTATCACCTTTGCCTTTAGGATGCATTCAGATGATAAGCAAAACAAATCAACCAATAGTAGCCTATTACTTCCCTGTCTGTGTGTGTGTGTGTGTGTGTGTGTGAGAGAGAGAGAGAGAGAGAGAGAGAGAGAGAGAGACAGAGAGATATTGAGCATTTTCTAGATTTGCTTGATTATTCTGGCATTCCTAAGAACATAGTTCAGGTGCTTTTGGCCGCTGACCCTGCTTCCTTGACTGATGATCAAGAAAGCACTTTGAAGTCTTTTGGAGCCGATCTGTGGAATAAGGTGACCCAGTGCACATGTACTATGGCAGGCTGGTTGTGTTGTTGATCTTGCTGCTACTTCCTTGCTTCTAGATATCTTGGATAGTAACATTAGCATATTTCCGCTCTATTATTTCACAGTGCCTTTTACTGCTATCCTCTAAAATAATCTGCATAAAATACACCAAGTGTTACTATTTTCACTCTGCATATGTGATGAAAACTGTGTCTGACTATCATTTTCAGTTTTTACTGAAGCCATGTGGTAGGCTAAAAATAAATGTAAAAATTGGAAAAAGCATCTGGCTAAAATTAAACTGTGGGTACTCTATCTACCACAAAAGCTTCTTGTTGAAAATTACATGAGTGAGGCTTAGAACGCTTTCACATCTTGCCCAACAACATCTTGAACCTCAGCACGGTGCTGAGCAACAGGCTATATAGCTGGGGTTGTTGGTTGGCTAAGCTGTATTATGTTGCCCTCTTTGTCACTTAGCGGCAGTTGAAGTCCCAGCTCATTTTTCAAGGCTACATGATGAGCCAAGATGTTTTTTGTCTGACTTCCCATTGATCTTCTGACTTGCTCTGATATAAATGAGTGTTAATTTGATCTTTGATGCTTGATTTGGTTTTGTCATTTTATTTAAACTGCTCCAAATCCTCATCTGCCGGTGGCAAGAAGGAACACACCTTGTCTTTTATTGAATCTTACATTCAAGAAGATTGAGCGTTTTATAAAATCCAGCTTTCTCTCAGCCAAGGAAGGAGGCCTCTTTTTAGATTGTCATGAGTTCATCAACTGGATTTCCACCACCCGAGTCACTGTTTGAAAGAAGATTAGGTGTTCAGGCCGGATGAAGTTTTCCAGTGTGTTGAGACCCTGGGATGTTTCCTGCTGCAAGGGGCCTTGGAATCTGTGTTCCTCAGGAGAGTTTCCTTACGTCCTCAATTCAATGATTGCAAAGAGCTGAAAACCAGTGTAAGGCAGTGATATAACAGAGTGCCTGTCTACAAGACATTCACTTACCTTTTCTACTGCAATGGCCTCAAATATATATCAGTTATGGATGTCTAAAATACCATTAGAGAGAGTCTGGGAATGGGGCTCAGGAATTTGAATTTTAAGCTGCCATTTCATGATTTGTCTGAAGCAACAAGGCTTGGCATTTAGATGTACTCTATAAACCTATTTTTTAGAATCTTCAGTCTCCATTTGCTATTAGTAGATCATTACTAGTTGTTTTGAAATTTTTTTTCTAATTTATGTTTAACTGAAAAAAGGTTTGTAAATGCTTTAAAAATGTGTCTTTATCAGATCGGTCTAGAAGTATTTAAGTATGAAGAACTCAGCAGCTGGTGTTAGACAAGCTTTAAATGGCTCTTCTATCTCAGCTGAATTCTCGGCACAACCAAATAACAGCTCACACTTTCCAGATGTATATACATGTAGACACACACACACACACACACACGCACGCACATTCACACACTCCCATTTTAGATGTTGTTTAGCTGTGTTGAGTCTACCTCTCTAGGCCAAATATGGTCATTTTGGTGATTGAAAATCTACTTTTCTGTTTTCCTTTATCACAGAGCTATTCTTTATGATTTGTTTCCAATGAGGCAGAATATTGTTCTGAGATGGTCTAAACAAAGAGCCTGCATTGGTTTTCTCGTAAAAACCTTTGCACTTGGCTAAAAGTTCTCTGCTGTATCATTTCCATCTTTAGTCTATTTAGAGATCATGTTAGGTATGTGTTTTTCCAGTGTTGCACCTCTAGCCTGTCCCACATTATCACAAAAGCAGCCTTCAGAAGCAGGTGCATGGGATGTGTGCATAAGTGTGTCAGCTTCAGAATAAAGTTTGGGGAACTTGAGAAGGTACAGCTGAGTGATGTCTCTCTCCCCCTGTCATGGTAAGAATCACTTTGGAAATCAACTTTACAATCACACATTGCATGCAGCATATTTCAAAATCAGCTTTGGCTGCTGCTCCCATTAGAAGTTTGGATCAGAATTTTGGATTGTTATACCTTTTTTTTTGTTTTAATTTCTCTTTATAGTGAATGTATTATTTTTCTGAGTTGGGCAGAACCTCTCTTCGTGGCACACAAATTCTGGAAACCATAGAGGATAAGATGCAGCAATAGGACTACCAAAAAAAAAATACTCCCTAAAAGCTTTATGTTTGGAAAGAATTCCAGGAACAAAGCCAAACTTAGATCTTCAGAATAAAACATTGGAAGTTTCCATAAAAGAGAGCTACTTCATTAATTACAAAAACTGCTGGGATGGATAATGAAATCACCCAAATGACATGTGCCCAAAAACAAGGAAAACAAAGGATGGTCACTATGTAGCTGAGAGAAGAAACCCAGTCTCTCTCCAAAGAGACAAGTCTCTACTGCTAACCAATCAGGGCAGGAGGAAAGGCTGGGCTGGTAGTTTCTATGCAGGACAATTTTTAGCTGTTTATTCGAGAGGCAAAATTATAGAGAGATACAGATCTTCCAGTCATTGTTTCACTCCCAAATAGCCTCAGTGGCCTGTCTAGATCAGCCTGAAGCCACAAGCTTCATCTGAGTTTTCTACCTGGGTAGCAGCGACCCAAGGAACTGAGCTGTCTTCTGCTACTTTTTCAGGCACATCAACAGGGAGTTGGAGCAGAAGTAGAGTAGCTAGGACATGAACTGGCATTCACAGTGCAGCCCTACTGCACCACAGTTCCAGCCCTCTCTGAAGGACAATTTAGCTGTGCCCATCTACATTAAAAATCACATACAACTTTGTTTTCACAGTTGTCCTGCTGGGGATTTATTTAGTCAACAGAGTCATGAAAGGACTGCCAGTCATATGCCAAAACAAACCACGTGGCCTCCTAAGCATAGCCATGTGCATCATTGTTTCTAGTGATTAAAAGACTGGAAACTGCTACTGGGTTGAACCGGATGATTGCAGCTTGCTTTAGACCATGATGCAGCAGTTACTACAGGTGTGGCATATGCTTCTGCAGAGGTATCCCTAAAGTAGGTTGCACAACATCGTGGATGGAAACAATATATGTAGAAAGGAGCCAGTAAACGAATTAAATTGTTTTTTTTAAGGGATATGTTAACTGTTAACAAGAGAATGTTAACTGTGGCCTAACTTCCCTTTTATTTTTTACCATTTCTCCAAATTCTTACTATATATATTCTATTCTCATGAAATAAATATACAAATAAATATTCTCATAAATATACAAATAAATATAAAGTCACTGTTGTAAACAAGAGTGGAGTCATAATGAGCTGTGCTAAGCACATTTCAGTATTCTAAACCATTAGTTTTTCAAGAGCCCTTCTCCATATGCAGGATGGAAAGGGTTGGAAGGAGTTTTTGGAGCATCAATCCCCAAGGATCCCTGGTGTCAGGCTCCTGAGGGACAGCTGCCAGGATACTCCCAGTGTTTTGGCCAAATAAAAAGTGCTGTTTTCTGGCCCAGAAGTTTTGGGTGAGGAGGAAGAGTTTGAGATGCACATTGTGTGTCCATGAGGACTTAACCAGGAGGTTGGCATGTGTGTTCTGTTGGATACACTACAGGTGGGCCAAGAAACCTCCAGTGAATGGCATCTAAAGCTGTCGGCGAGAGGAGTTATTGGAAGGAAAGGTAAGACAGGGCCCAGTCCAGAGCTTGGATGAAAAGGAGGCTCCTGGAGGAATTGCTAGCACCTTGGAGATACTTGTCGTCTTGGGCTGGGCATGGAGGCTGTGACAGATGGGAGCTAGCAGGGAGGCAGCAACTTTGGAGCCATCCTCTTTTCCAGAAATTTGGCTAAGAATGGGGGCAATGAAATGGGGACTGGTTGGAGAATTGAGTCAGTGGATATTTCTACCTTTCTGTTTGTTTAATGAGATACAATACATGGGAGACCTTTGCAACTAATAATGGTCCACTGTAGAGAAAACTCAGTGATGCAGAAGAAAGGGGATAATGTTGAAGGAGAGCACTTGGGAAGAGAGGAGGAGAAGGTAGGATTGATGCATTTCTGATAGGAAACCCTTTCCAGGCTGTGTGCACAGGATCAGGAGGAAGCAGAGTGTGAAGGGTGAGGTTGAGGAGAGGATGCCCAGATGGTACTCTTAGAAGCAAGAAGATGCAGGAAGTCCTGGCTGTTGACTTTGATGTCTTCAGTATAGGAGAAAGGATCCCCAGTGCCAGCAAGGCAGAGGCAAGGGAGGTTTAAGAAGAAAAGAGAGAACAAAGCAGTCAGTGTGAGGGGGACATAAGAAACGGCCTGGGGCAGTATGGGTGGCTTGCTTGACTATGTGGAGTGCTTATTCGAAACTGTGAACCTAAGGACTTGCTAGACACCTTTGAATTTGGCCTCGCGGACTCATAGTCCTGTTAGAAGGCGAATGGGCA